TCCCTAAAAGACAGAACAAGTGGTCACTGAAAGAACAAATCTATCTAAATGGCTTCAAGAAAAAGCAATTCATAAACGAATATACCAAAATCAATGGTCCGAACAAAGAAAAAAAAGACCAAAACTTTGAATCAGAAGAGAGAAGAGAGAACGAACCTTTATCACAATGACTGAAAGAGAACATTCAAGAACCCTAAGCTTATTCTGAAAATGCAGCTAGATTCTCCCAAAGACCCTATTTATTTTCCAAACTTGAAAAAAAGTTAAAACTCAATTTGAAATTCAAAAAAATTTCTCAAATTTGTGTCAACATTTAATGCGTAACTAAGAAAAGGCCAATTTTTTTTTTGTTATTATTATCCAATTATTTTATGAATAAAGTAATCATATAGGAATTGGGCAGAGTAGAAGACAAAGATACAGTTGAACAGAACAGAAGAGAATCTGTAAAACACTAGTTTCGATTTACACGGGCACTTGGAACTTTCATGTCTTTTTCTCAATATTTTCAAAGAGAAAAAGTGATTTTAAAACTTATAAAGGAGAGAAGCAAGAAAAAACCAAACTTTAAAGAAAGCATTATCACATGCACAAACGCATGTTTAAACAACTAAGACTTTTTTTTTGTCGCTTTCTAGTCAGAGCTTAGTGAACTGAAGCCTGATTCCCTTTTCTGGGTTTTGTTTTCTTTCTTTGTTGACATTTTCTAATATTTTTCTAGATTTTTTTTTTGCTGAATTTAGTATTTGAAATTTGAAAACCAACGTGTAAAGAATCAACTTTCCCAGAAAATCATGGTCTTATCTTTTGTTGAAATTTTTATATTGAATGGGTTTTGTCTTGAGCAAAGGGAAGGCCTTTCTCTTTTTCTGAAGCCTTCCACTGCAACTCCTCTTTGAACCATGTTGGTTTTGGTTTACACTTTTACTTAAGCCTTCGACATTGATATGAACATCACAGCTCTGATCTCACTGTCCTTCACAGTTTGTTTGACAAGACCCTTAAAGATCTTGACATGAGACTCTCATCATGTCTCATCTCAACTTCGATTCAAGGAGAAAGATATATGAAAAAGTTAATCATTGTTTTGCAAGAGCGAGACCAATAGTAATGCATATATATTCACCATCATTGAGTCAAAAGATGAGCTTTGATGAATTCACAATGACAACTAAAATCTGCACAATGACTAACAAAGCTGAACATCTTCACTTAGTTTGGCTTTGCACCTTTGAAGATGAAGATTGTAATGAACAAACGCCAATTCTTCCAGATGCTGTCTTTCACGATGGCTTAATCTTTCACTGAGCAGCAGTTTCTCTGCTAAGCTTCTCTTCAGCTTGTACCTTGAAGCACCTTCGCATGTCTGGCTCAGAATCTTGATGGCGAAACTCTGCAGTTCTGGGTACTCACTCGCCTTTTGAGCCCACCACTCAACTGCAAAAATGAGAAAACCCTTTGCTCACTGATTCAACAACAACACAAGTGAAGGTGCAAACAAAAACAACTATATCGAAAGTCAAGAAGTTCACACACCTGGAGAGATTTCAGAGATCTGATCAGCTTGACTTGCCTCGTTAAAGTAATCTTCACCGAGCCTATACGAATCAAGCTGTGTGGCAGCTTGAAGCTGAATGTGATGTTCCTTAACAATATGAACCAGAGAGGAGGTAAGACCGGTAGCGACTTCTGGATCAAGATGGAAATCAGTTGAGTAGAAAGCAGTCGGGTTCAAGAAGTAACCAGCAGCATGAAGAGGAATGTGAAGGTGCTTGTTCCAGACATCATCTATCACATCCCATAACGGTTTGTAACAGACTTCATCGTCATTGAATTCCCTCGCAATACTCTCCTTTATTTCATCCATAATGTTATAGATATACCCAACATGCAGGTTGTTGACGGTAGAAAACAAGAGTAGACCGTGAATCAGAGGAGATGTGGATTTCACAACTCTCTCAACAGTTTCCCAAAAAGAGGAATCATTCACCAATTCGGATATTGTTATGCCTTCTTCTTTGTCCCAATCAGATGAAGCAAACATGTCTCCCAAGTCGTTCTTCGCCTTGAAAATACTCTCTAGAGTTAGATACGGCATAAGAAACTCAAACTCGGAGGAGGAGACAGTCATGTCCAATCCATGAATGTGAGCTCCCACAAGCTTCAAAGCCAAGGGACTGTTGTTGATAAACTCTGTAATCTTATTGGCATTATCAACTATGTCTCCAAGGGAACTTGTTTTCGCGATTTTCAGCAGCATAAGGTCGAAGCAATGAGACACACTCACGGACCAGAAAAGTTCCTTCTTGTTACCCGCTAAAGACTTGCCTAATTCACCAACCCAACCATAAGTTGAACATGCAATAATCTGAACCACGTTATGCATTCCAACTTCATCAACAAGCTCATCAAGTAGCGATATTAAGGCATTGCTATTGCTTTTTATATCTGTAACATCCACAGATTTCAGATACACTGGACCTGCTGGACAATCTGCAACGAAAGCAACCAAATCCCGGCCTTTCTGGTCAACCCAAGCATCCAACAAGATGCTGCAACCTGTGACCGCCCACGAATCTTGAACCTTCTTCACATGAGCTTGCACTTCCTTCAACGCATCTTGAAGCATCCATCCTTTTAAATCATGAGAATCAGGGATCTTAAGACGCATCTGACCGCCACTGACAGTCATCATTTCTTTGAAGCTTGGCGAATCCACAACTGAAAAGTCGATACAATTCTCATAAAAGAACCGACCAATGCACATTTGGCCTTTGTTGTCAAACAAATCAGGTTTATCAGTCTCCATTCCTATACTCCCATTCTCAGGAGAAACACTTTTGCTTGATGAATCTTGGCTTCTTTCACGCTTATGACCATTACTCATTCGGACTCCGTCGTTAGCAGTAAAACCAGATCTTTCCCCCGCAATCATCTTTCGAAGCGTCTCTCTAACAGTATCTGCAACTTGTTCACAGGGAGCTACATCTCCTCGTATACCACCCAAGTGAAATTTCAGACGAGTGAAAGAATGAAGTTCTTTTCCACAGTAATTGCACTTAACCCGACGCCTTTTCTTGTCTACACAAATTCCATGCTCATGAATGTCCATGAAGAAGGTACCAGCCATATGCGCTTAATCCAGATAACAAAGACAAGGCATATTTTCTCAGATTCCAGCCATTACCTGAAACTGCAACCCCAATATATAACAGTTTGTGAAATAAACAGGAACATTCATCTTTTGAATGGACATAATTTTGGACACAGAATTTCCGAACCTGATCTCAGAAATAATTGGAGTCATTCATGAAGAAAAAACGAAACTTTAAATCCTACAAATGACAGAAAAAAACCGAGCATACGCACCAGCAACCTGCAAACGAGTCAAAACGAAATGAAAGGACCATATAAATCATCGAGATTATTCATCATCAGTCAGAGAAATCGACCCTAATAACACTTCAGACATGCCTCAGTGGTGACACAGCAAAGAAAAAACCTTTTTTTTTTTACCTGAGTGGCCGAGTCAAAGCTTCGAGTCGGATATCCA